CGGGGAGAGTGGCTCTCGGCGAGACGAAGCACCTCCAGGCGGAGCATCCCCAGTCTCAGCACCCCCAGGCTCAGCACTCCCAGGCTCAGCACCCCCAGGCTCAGCACCCCCAGGCTCAGCACCCCCAGACTCAGTACTCCCAGGCTCAGCACCCCCAGGCTCAGCACCCCCAGGCTCAGCACCTCCAGACTCCGCACCCCCAGGCTCAGCACCCCCAAGCGTAGCGCCTCCAGTCCCAGCACCCCCAGGCTCAGCTCCCGCAGCAGCACCAGAGTCACCAGTGACCTCGACAGGCTCGACCGCGTCTACCTGGGACACACCTGAAGGGGCAGGACCCTGAGGGGGGAGGGGGTCTACCGGGGGGGGACCTGGGACCAGGAAGAGTGGGGGCGGGGGGAGGGACGGAGTGCGGTAGGGGAAGAGGCGGTAGTAGGGTACCGACTCGTCGAACGTGACGTCCTGGGAGGACAGAACACGTCGAGAGGTGGGGTGGTAGAACTGCCACCCAGGGGCGTCGGGGGGGAACCCCAGGAAGACGCAGGGAGCAGCGCGAGGGGACAGCTTGTCCGCAGACAAGTCGCGGACAAACGCCCGAGATCCCCAGACCCGGAACGCCGACGCATCGCCAACCTTCCCCGTCCACAGCAAGGCTGGGGAGGTCTCCGGCCTGGAGACCCTGGGGTGAAGGATGATCTGATGCGCCGCGTAGCTGACCGCAAACGGCCACAGAAAATGGGGGGCAGCCGCATGCATCATAGACGTACGAGCGACGTCCATGACCATGCCAATGCGGCGCTCTGCAATCCCATTTTGCTGCGGGGAGTCCGGAAGTGTGAAGGTCTGGCGGATGCCTCGCGCACGACAGTAGGCATGCAGAAGGCCAGAGGAGAACTCTCCGCCTCTGTCCGAGTGCAGACGCAAAACAGGAAAGTCCGAGCCGAAGCTCCGCCTGAGCTGGAGACGAGCTGCGCGGATCCAGTCGATCAACACCTCAGTGACCTCACCCTTGGTGCGCAAGGGGAAGACTGTGGTGTAACGCGAGTAGTCGTCAACCACCAGCAGGAAGTAGCGCTCGTGACCCTGTCCACAGACGCGGGCTGGGCCCCACACGTCCATGTGAAGCGTCTGCAACGGAGCCTCTGTCGGAGGAAACTGGGAGGAGTGAGGGGCAGCACGCTGGCGCCCCTCGACACAGGGGACACAGGCAGGGCCAGGGCCCTGAGGAAGGGGAGGGAGGGACCGGGGGAGACCAGACACAAGAAGTCGAGAGGCCATGCCTCTGAGCCGAAGCAGAGAGGGGTGGCCAAGGCGGTGGTGCCAGAGGAGGGTCTCGTGAGACAGACGGCGACACGAATAGGGGGCAGACTCAGGACCAGACCTGGACGCTGCAGCAAACACCTGACCAGACGAAGGGACTCTACCAGACGCAGCACCTGGAGGAGAAGTAGTGGTCAGTGTGTACAGGCTCGACCCTGGCTGACGTGTAAACGTAGCCAGGTGACGACCCGTGCTAGCCTCTGTGCAGTGCGTCACTCGCTGACGAGCAGGGGTGAACTGGTGGACTCCCGCATCCTGTAGGTCAGCACCACTCACTAAGTTCGTAGAGAACGAGGGGAGGTAGAGACCAGACAGGGTGCCAGAGGGAGCCGCCGGACACGGGAGGACTGTGGAGAAGCGAGACAGGACAGGACCCCCAGAGGGGTCAGCCAGGGAAACCGCAACCAGCCGACTTAGCGGTGTGAGTGTGGTGCGGTCCCGAAAGAAAGAGCGAGACGCTCCAGAGTCAAGAGTAAAGGTGTGGGAGGCCGAAGCCGACGCAGTACCTGAGAGCGCAGACGCACTAGTACCTGAGAGAGCAGCCTCACCAGCACCGGAGAGCACAGACGCACTGGCACCTAGAGCAGAAGCCTCACCGGCACCTGGAGCAGCAGTACCAATGCCCGGGTCGGGCTGGAAACACCGGTAACAGTCACCATCCTCACTAACAGTCACAGCATACATGGCAGCAAGGATAGCATCAAAGTCAAGATCAAACACAGCTACACCAGCCCTAGACAGCTCTCCCCAGCGGGGGATCTCAGAGGCCTCCGGAAACTGCTGGCGCCAAGCGTCGGTCAGGCGGGCAAAGCAGCGGCGAGCGGTGTGGGTGCCCCCACACTGCTCACCCGCGCGGTCGCCGGTGCGAAGGACGTAGGTGCAGGGACCGAACGCCCCACCACGCTGACGCTGCGAGTACCACTCACGGAGCTGCTGGGGGCCGGGGACGTCGCGAGAGCGCTGCTGCTGCTGCTGCTGGCGCTGGCCACCCCCAGTGCCGCTCCTCTGGGACGAGCCACTCCGACCACCGCCACCACCGCCGCCACCGCCGCCACCGCCGCCCTCGCCCCCGCCGCTGCCACTGCCTCCACCGCCACCACCTCCGCCGCCACCTCCGCCTCCACCGCCGCCACCAGTATCCCCACCCCCGCCTCTACTCCCACCGCCACCTGCACTCCCCCCGCCGCCCCCACCACCTCCGCCACCTCCCCCGCTAGCTCCACCCGCTCCCTTGCCCCCCTTGCTCCTGCCAGAGCGACGCCTACCGCTGGGGGCAGACGCCGCACCGACCGACTCTAAACCAACGAGGTCGGCCGCAGCAGCAGAGGCGACAGAGGGTAACAGGGGGGAAGGAGAACACCCCTCAAAGATGGGGTTGCGCGGGTCACCACGAGAGGCCCCTACAGCGACTATGCTCTTCTCGGCCGCTAGTAGGGACTTCTCAAGGAGGTCGACAGTGAGAGTGGTGGGACAGACAGAGAGAAACTGGTCCCTAACAGCACGAAGGGACTCAGGAAGACGGGTGACTAGAAAGTAGAGAGTGATGTACATGGGAGGGGGGTTTTCGGCGAGGAAGGCAGCAGGAAGCGCAGCTCGGTAGCGAGTGTCACTAGCGCGAAGGTGGGTAAAGAGGTCAGTGACTGTGGGAAAGGCTGCAAGGTCAGGGAAGAGGTAGGGTAGCATGAGGCGGCTCAGTGTAGCAGTGGAAGGGGAGGAGTAGCGCGCAACTACAGCGTCGTACAAGGCCTGAGCGGTCTTGCACTGACTAAAGTGGGCACGCTCGGAGGAAGGGAGGTGGCGACGCACAGCAAGACGTGCAGCAGCATCGCGTGTGGCCCACTTGGAGCGAGCAGCGGGGTCAGCATCAGCAAGAGGGGCAGGGACAGCGCCAGAGACAAAGTCAAAGAGAGAAACCTCATCGATCGCATCGCACAGTAAGTACAGCTGCAGGTCCTCAATCCAGACTGCAAAGTCAATGGCGCGACCCTCAGCGTCAAACGACAGGACACTGGGGGTGGCCATTGTAGCAGCTGATAGTCTCACCGAGCAGGAAGAGTCGGGTAGCACAGCGGCGCAGCAACACGGTAGAACAGCAGCTGCGCCGGCCCGGGAGCAGCAGCAGCCCCACAGTAGCAAGAGCTCGGCACCTCAGGTCGCTCGGGCGGCTCGGGCGGCTCGGGTGGCTCGGGCGGCTCGGGTGGCTTGGGTGGCTCGGGCGGCTCGGGCGGCTCGGGTGGCTCGGGTGGGTCTGCTGCACGGGAGGTTGGGGCGGCTCGGCTGCACGGGCGGCTCGGCGCAGGCGTCGCTCCGGGCGGCTCGCTGGCGGCTCGCGGGCGGCTGCACTGGCGGCTCGCGGGCGGCTGCACGGGCAGCTCAGGGACGGCGGCACGGGCGGCTCGTGGGCGGCTCACGCTGGGCGGTTGCACGGGCGACTGCACGGGCGGTTCGGCGGGCGGCGCACAGGCAGCTCACGAGCGGCTGCACGGGCGACGCGGCGAGCTGCTGAGGGCGACGCACGGGCGGCACTCAGGCGTCAGGGCGGGCGGCCGTCAGGGCGCTAGGGCGGGTGGCGCTCAGGCGTCAGGGCGGGCGGCCGTCAGGGCGCTAGGGCGGGCGGCGCTCAGGCGTTAGGGCGGGCGGCCGTCAGGGCGCTAGGGCGGGCGGCGCTCAGGCGTCAGGACGGGCGGCCGTCAGGGCGCTAGGGCGGGCGGCGCTCAGGCGTCAGGGCGGGCGGCCGTCAGGGCGCTAGGGCGGGCGGCGCTCAGGCGTCAGGGCGGGCGGCCGTTAGAGCGCTAGGGCGGGCGGCGCTCAGGCGTCAGGGCGGGGGGGCGTCAGGGCGCTAGGGCGGGCGGCGCTCAGGCGTCAGGGCGGGCGGCGCTCGGGCGCTGGGGCGGGCGGCGCTCGGGCGCTAGGGCGGGCGGCGCACGGGCGCTAGGGCGGGCGACGCACGGGCTCTAGGGCGGGCGGCCGGCAGGATCTAGGGCGGGCCGTGCTTGAGCGCTAGGGCAGGCAGCGCGCGGGCGCTGGGGGCCGTAGGGCAGATCGAAAAAAAAGGAAGTACTAGGGCCCGGAGCGCGCTCCGGGCAGAAAAAAAAAGTTACGAGGTAGCGGTGGTGGGCCCTAAGAACAGTTCCCACAGGGGAACCTGCTCGATACCATGAGAAGAAGTGAACGAGAATGGAATGACTATGAATGAAGTGAGTACAAATAGGAAAGCCTAGTTAGGTCGTACCCCCTATGGGATACCCCACTATAGCCTACACAAATAAGTAAGCTATAATGTTCTGACATCGGCCTCCACCCACGACTTCATTTCAAAACTTTGCAGTTTCATTCCCCACCCACCCACCCTAGTTGTATCATTTTATAGTACATAGTTGGGCGAGAATGTACTATTACTGCAATTGTAATGAAGCCCGTTGCCTTTGCAAGAACAGAAAACAAGCTTTCTCAATTGTGATGAGAATGGCGGCAGTGTCAGAGATGGTAACACCAGCAGTAGCAGTCAGCCAGTGAAGCAATCACCCTCAGCATCGTTCCTCGAGGTGTTCAAAACCCTCTTTATAAGGGAGTCCCTAACTATCTCCTACGATTGTAGGTATTCATTCCTCCCTGCCTTCCTAACCGCAGTGGCCATCTCAGAGTCATTACATCATGGCTAAGCCATAGGATCTTACTGGTGCCTACCTAAATACAATTTTTTTCCGCCAATACTCTTCATTCATGCTCCTGGAGAGCACAGACCCATCAGTGTCCTTCACAAGCCTCGTCTGGAACAATCTCAGCTCCTGCAGCGCCTTCAGCGCACTCAAATCCCCCGGCATTGCCTCCAGCTGCACACAGCCTGACAGATCGAGGGATTTGAGCCGCGTGAACTGTGCAGCGGTGGAACATAGGGAACGGATGGGGCTGTCTCGGATCGACAGCTTGTTCAGGCAGGCAAGCTGGGTGAGAGAGGCAGGCAGCTGCTCAAGCTGCTCGCAGCCAATCAGGTGCAGCTCCCGCAGCCTGGATAAAGCACCGATGGCATGCGGCAGAGAAGCCAGTTTGCGCGCGTAGCAAACCAAGCTCTTGAGGTTCTCAAGTTCTGCCACACTCGCTGGCAGCTCCCTCAACTCGTGCGCATTTACCAGCTTCAGCTTCCGCAGCTGCGGCAGTGCTGACCCGATGTCGGCCGGCAACCTTTGGAGACTCCATGCGCTGTCAATAATCAAGGTGCGCAGCCGGGAGAGGAACGTCAAAGGGAATGGAAGCTCCTCTGCAACGCCTGCCAAATTCAGATGCAAATGCTCCAGGTGCGACAGGCTCCTGCTCACAGCGACCCCACACGCCACAGAAACCTTGTCCAGGCGGAGCGTCCGAAGCCCTGTCAGCGTGGAGACGTCTAGCAGAGCCATGGCGTGCTTCTGACTCCAGCTACTTCTCCAACTCAGCCATTCTATGGAAGCCGGCAGGACTAGAGGAGGCCGTATGAGCATGTCACATCGGGCAGCCTCCAGCTGCTTGAGCCGTGTCAAGCCGTCCAGCCTTGTGGGCACCGAGGCCAGACATGGGGAGTCAGCGAGAGAGAGAGCTTCAAGGGCAGTGAGGCACGTCACGGACGCTGGAAGGGCCGTGAGCTCACAGCAGTACGAGAGGTGCAGCTCACGCAGGTTGCTGAGCGACCACACGCCCTCTGGCAGCAACTCCACGTCGCACTCGTTCAGCTCAAGCCTCGTCAGCGACGCGACCTCCGATAACGAGCACGGGAGATGCCGAGAAAGGTAGCTGTCTCTGAGAAGCAGCGTGTGGAGGTTTCTCAGGCGTCCTATGTCCGCTGGAAGTGCCACTCCCCCCAGGCAGAGCGTCGTGAGAGCCGTGAGGCAGCAGAAGTCTGCTGGCAGCTCGCCAAATGAGCACGAGAGAGCTGGAAGCAGGAAGAAGGTCTCCAGGGAGCTGAGCTGACAGACGGAGTCAGGGAGGAATGCCAGCAGCAGCAGACTATCCAGAACCAGGGTTTTCATGGCAGTCAAACTCCCGATGTTTTCAGGCAGGCAGCTGAAGCGCTCGCAATCGATGATTAATAAGGTCTCCAGGTGCTCCAGGGAACAGAAATCCTCCGGCAGCTCCTCCAAGGCCTCGCAACTGGAAACGGTCAGCTCACGCAGACGCGGCAGCAACTCCGCAATGGCGTCCGGAAGCCGCCTCAATTCTCTGCAACGTGATATCTGCAGCCGTTCTAGACTGGTTAGTGGCCAATCCGACAGCAATCCGACATCAAACGTGGGCCCGGCGGAGAGTGAAACGCTGGTGATGCTGGAAAGACGACGTACACTCGAGAGTTGCTCCCACTCCCTGCAGGTCATATGAAGATTGGTGAGAGAGCTGAGGCTCTCCAAATCTGGAGCTTCTAAGGCGGAGGCGGCTGTTAAAGCCAGGGTGTGCAGACGCGTGAGGCGGAAGAAGGAAGCGGGTAGCTCAGTGTCCCGATGGAGGCAGAGCAGTGAAAGCTGCTCCAGCTGAGTGCATCGCTGGAAGAAGCGATCCAGACCAGCCTCGGTGATCGGGTGCTCTTCCTTCGGTCCGACATAGTCCGGATCGTGAGTGATCCAGCGTTCCACGTGGAGAATCTTGAGCTTAGGACACGCCCATGCGAGGTGATTGAGAAAACTGTCGTTTAGGGTTTCCACGCTGTCGTCGCACAGATGGAGATGGGTGAGGTTCGGGAAGCACGCGACGGTATTCGAGAGTTCTTGGAGGAGAATGGAACGGTTTCGTTCGACAAGGAGGGTGGAGACGTCACGGTGAGCTACATCGCGCCAACGACGGCACACCGACGACACGAGGAAGATCCAGGCAGCGGTTGGAAAGGCGGAGGGGGACGATACTGGATACGCTTCCTCGGGACTGAGATCATCTTCGTATTCTAAATCGATCGAGCGAAGGTACAGTGGCTTCGGCAACCATGCATGCCGAGACCATAACGTGTCACTGTCGGGTTTCGAAGGTGTAGTAGACTCCGCACAATGCCATAGTAGTATCCTAGCGAGGACGTCGTCGGGAAGGTCGTTAATATGTCTCGCTGTCTCCATCATTTCCCTAGCAGACGAGATTACTAAGGATCTGTGAAAGGATGGTACGCAGCGACCTTGAATCCTAGACCGAGTTTATACAAGCTTGAACGTGACTCATTCGTGATGGTCATTGCGCTGCCTTCCCTTGAACGCAACGCACCCCTCATGTGAGGGTGGATACTCTGTCAGTTTTACAGAAAAGGGTTACCCAAATACCAAGCCAAATTGGTTTTGCTGCGCTAAAGCACCTTCCTATTTCGCTGCCATGTTTTCGCTTTGATTCGTATTGGTTCGAAACCTTGCGTGGTCCAACAGAAAGTCAGCGAGCTCAACGAAATCTGGGGAAATCTGAGACGTGACACGATTTCGTTTAGCGATGAACCAAGCACAATTGGTCTGGGAAACACCGTGTACGAAGGGTCGTTCCAGCTCACTCGTGGGAGCGGTAAGTGCATCTGCCTGGTCCGAAATTGTGGTCAGGCGGGCCCCTTCGCGGACCAGTCGCGGACAAAACACGGAGTCTTTGAGGTTCGCGAAATCTCGTTTTGGAGGGAAACCTATGAGCCAACAAATTCACTGGGCTTGTGTTACGGTTTCGTTCGTTTGAGTCGAATCTCGACGATGATGCCGAAACAATTCGCCCAAGCCCTTTCGTGTACGGACCGAACGAGACTCGGTAACACAATCGTAGTAACCAACTCTTTGCCAATGTAATGAGTTGTATGAAAGAGGAGTGCGCAGAATTCAATATCGCGGAAGTGATTACAACTACTGAGAGCACAACGAGGCCTAGAACTAATATAGCGAAGCTAGCTGGGCCGAGGTTGTAGGGTCGCAGGATGGCTGGGTGCAGGTCCGGGGTTGTGAAACCCGAAAGCGACGCGATAGTGGTTCGGAAGGCGAGGTCGTCGGACCGAGCCTGTTTTTCCGAAAAGTCAGGTTTGTACGCGTACAGTGTGACCCAGTAAGGAATCCGAAAAAATCCTTACATCCAAGTTTCGTTCATTTCTGGAACCAACCCTTCGCTAAGTCTTCGTTTGGCTCCCTCACATGGCTGACGCTGGAGACCCAGATATCACGGCACTTTTCCGCTACCTGTACCCTGACCTGCGACTTCTAAGCTCACATTCCGAGAATCTCATGGCTCCAGACGCGCCAGCTCCGATCGACGTTCATAACGCGTCTCAAAGCAAGTGTCGTAAATTCCTCAAACTGGTCATTATCGTCGTAGAAACTGATCTTGTTCCACTTGGACCTGAAATCCTCACACCAATCCCTTCACTGTGATTCCCCTTGCCGCTCCACACCCATCCCCATCCCAGCAGCTGGTTCGTTCCCACTCCTAGCACCTACTGCGACAGGCACGGCTGGATCTCGAAGAAGATAATGGCGGACGTGAATCATGGTCGTGCTCAGACGTGGTTACCCGATCAGATGCAAGCATTATTCGCATCCGCCTCGACCAAGCCCCCTCTCCTACTAAAATTCTCAACTTATTTCTGCATTCTGTTAAAGTCGGAGTACAAATCAACGCGGCTCGAGAAATAAAGGTATAGCCTAGCCGATTCAGTAGACCTAGCCGTCTCGTCTCTATAATCTCAGGCTGTCGCCTCCAGTAGTCTTTCTTCTTTAGCGTCTTCGCAACTCTGGTAATAAGTCTATTTGGATAATCCCGTAGAAAGTCCGGTTCGGAAAACGCTGTTACAAATTCCCATTAGCTATCCCAGATAGCATCAGCCTTTTTCCTCCTCGTATTCTCCGCCCCGCCTCTCCCTCCCCTCGCTTCCCCCCCATTCCTCCCAGCTTCCGCCTTTCCACCTGTTTTCCTCGGTTCCGCCGTCCAGGCGACGCCTTAGCAAAACATACAGCATTGCCAGGGCCGTCATCTCGTGCATGCTCGGCATTGCCACGTCATTCCGCCATTACCTGACGTGTCAAGCTGTCACATCACATGCAACGCTCAACCTGGTGGTTTGACTAACAAGAACTCCGTTTCTGGTGTAAGCTGTGAGAATGTGCTGTGAGAAGGTGTGCTGCCGAGCCGACCATTTGTGCTGATGCCGTTGTGACTGTATTGATGTTGAACTCACGGCTTCCATGTTGACTCACCGCCTGACTGCTGACTTTGACGTACCGTTTGCCAGCAACGGCGTGTTGTTTTGATGTTGTGGATTCTGAAACACCGAGTCTCTAATCAGACTAAAGTACTTTCAGTCGGCCACCCACGTCTCCCTCCTGCTTCCCTGCCGTACCTGTCTGTCTGTGTCGATCCACACCCGCTCTCCGTCCCGCTGCATAGCAGCAGGCCTCCCAGACGCGCCTGTCATTCAAGGCCACATGGAACCGCTTTCAACCGCCGCACATCCAGCAGTACGCCCACTTTCCGCATCCTCTTTTTTCTCGTACATGAGCTTGGCTTTTTCTCTCCGGCGCACAAACGTCCTCCTTCTTCCATCTCCTGTTTTCGCCCTCCCACCTCCAGTTTATCTCTTCGTGTATTATCTGAAGCACTCCCGGCAGCGGGATTTATTCGCATTAGGGCGTATCCCTGGGTGGTGGCAGGGCCACTGTAGATGGCAGCCTGCCACGAACACATAAAACGCCAGGTTGGTGTCAGGAAATTTGGCGCGCGAATACAGGTGCGTGATTGGGCAATGTCCCAGAAATGTCACTTCAATGCCACCAAATACGAGTCGCGCGCGCCTCGGTAAATGTTGGTGGCATGCGATTTTCCCGCATGCCACCAACTCTGCCATCTACAGTGGCCTTGCCACCACCCAGGGATACGCCCTTAGTGAGCCATTTGAGTGTGGATACACTGAACCTTCTCTCCTCTCGTTTCCCACCCCCTATGTCTCCACCCTCGTCTCCCCTATCTTCTCCCGTCAGCCAGTCGTTTTGGAACCCACAGCCGCCAGCACGAACCCCAGCAGCAGCAGCAGCAGCCGTGCCGTCAACAGCGGCAACGGCGGCATCTCATGCCTCCTCGTGCTCCTCCTGTCCGAACCAAGACGTTTCCCCCTGCCTGCTCGTCAGCCAATCGTTTCTGAACCCACAGCCGCCAGCACGAGCACCATCAGCAGCGGCATCAGCCGCAGTGCTGTCAGCAGCGGCAATGGCAGCATCAGTGGCGCATCTCCCGCCTCCTGCTCCTCCTTTCCAGGCCCGAATGACCTGGCGGGAGTGGTGCTGCATGCGCCTGCAGAACCCGCTGCAGCAGGCAGCGCTGAGGGGCAGTGCTGACTGAGGGGCAGTGCTGACTGAGGGGCAGCGGCGTGGATGGTGGCATGGCATGGCAGCAGATGGCCGAAGAGAGGGCAGAGAAGAGGGCGGAGCAGAGGGAAAATCAGAGGGCAGAGCAACGGGCAGAGCAGGTTAGAGGGGGGCTTACATACAACTGCGCAGCAGAAGGCGTGGGATTGGGTATGCGAGGATGGTGGCATGGAGAGCAGGGCAAGTCAGCCGCATGCAGGGTTTAGGGTCGCCCAGACAAGTCACAACAAGTGGACAAGTCTCCATCCACCTCCCTCACACTCCGTCACCTCTCTCCATTCACGCCCTCAGGCCACACTCTCTCAATGCCCTCATTCCCCACCTTGCCATTCAACCCCTCGTCCTGCGCCCATGCCAGCATTTGAGTCTTGCCTGAGGGGTCTCAAGATTCGATCTCGAGACTTTTAGAGCATTTGAGGTGGCGCATGAGTGGTTGCTCCAGGCTGGCCCTTGCTCTCCGTCCATCCCCAGCGCTCAAGCCCGCTGCCATCTGCATGCTGAAATGCCCTCCTTGCCTCCCCTCCCTCACCTCTCTCACTGCTCACCTCTCACCTCTCTCACCTCTCTCACCTCTCTCGCCTCCCTCACCTACTTTTGCGTACAGCTTCCCTCCCGCCTCCCATCAGTTGGAACGGTCCCAACCCCAACCCATGGGTGGGGGTGCCATGAGTGCAGTGCAAGTGGCTACGGCTGTCGATGCTGCTGAGGTGGCAGCCACAATCACCCAACTCATGGATCTCTGTGCTGCATGGTGCCACGGCTCTCTCTCCTGCAAGTGGCCATGGCTGTTGTGTTGATGCTGCTGAGGTGCCGACTGTTTGTGCTGAGGTGCTGGTTGTTGTATTTCAGCACTTCACTGTGTCCAGTCCAGGCTGGTTGTGTTCATGGCGCTTGGTGCAGATCAGAATATCCGGAAGAGTTCAGCCGCTCCAAAACATAGGTATGCGGTGCATGTACCCTACTACCTGACACGTTTTAGGCATGGCTCAGCACAGTGATCATTCACTTGGATGCTTCTTGTCACTGAGCGAGGAAGCCAATGATAGGTAGTACAAGAAACAGGCCATGAGATGGATGTGCTGGCAGTCGAGGATGGAAATTGTGATGAGAATGGCGGCAGTGCCACCGGTGAAGGCAGTTAATAGAGGTGGCAGTGATGGTATGGTAACACCTGCAGCAGCAGTCAGTCAGTGAAGTACCGGTAATCGCCCTCAGCATCATTCCTCCAGGTGTTCAAGACCCCCCCTAACTATCTCGTACGATTGTATTCATTCCCCGCCTACCTATCCGCACTGGTCACCTCAGAGTCATCACATCATACCTAAGCAAACAACCTATTTAAGAAGACGCTACGGTATATGCCATGCCATAATATCTTACGGGTGCGGTGCCTACCGAAATGTATATTTTCAGCCCGTACAGTTCATTGATGCTCCTGGGGAGCACAGACCCATCAGTGTCCTTCACAAGCCCACACCTGAACAATTTCAGCTCCTGCAGTGCCTTCAGCTCACTCAAATCCCCCGGCAATGCCTCCAGCTGCGCACAGCCTGACAGATCGAGGGATCTGAGCCGCGTGAACTGTGCAGCGTTGGAACATAGGGAACGGATGGGGCTGTTAAGAATCGACAGCTTGTTCAGGCAGGCAAGCTGGGTGAGAGAGGCAGGCAGCTGCTCAAGCTGCTCGCAGCCAATCAGGTGCAGCTCCCGCAGCCTGGATAAAGCGCCGATGGCATGCGGCAGAGAAGCCAGTTTGCGCGCGTAGCAAACCAAGACCGTGAGGTTCTCAAGTTCTGCCACACTCGCTGGCAGCTCCCTCAACTCGTGCGCATTTACCAGCTTCAGCTTCCGCAGCTGCGGCAGTGCTGACCCGATGTCAGCCGGCAGCCTTTGGAGACTCCACGCGCTGTCAATAATCAGGGTGCGCAGCCGGGAGAGGAACGTCAAGGGGAATGGAAGCTCCTCTGCAACGCCTGCCAAATTCAGCTGCAAATGCTCCAGGTGCGACAGAAAACTCGTTCAGACGGAGCGTTCGAAGCCTCCTCAGCGTGGAGACGTCTGGCAGAGCCATGGCCTGCTCGTGACTCCAGATACTTCCCCAACTCAGCAATTCAATGGAAGCCGGCAGGACTAGAGGAGGCCGTATGAGCATGTCACATCGGGCAACCTCCAGCTGCTTGAGCCGTGTCAAGCCGTCCAGCCTTGTGGGCACCGAGGCCAGACATGGGGAGTCAGCGAGAGAGAGAGCCACGTGGATGGGAGATGCCGAGATTGGTAGCTGTCTCTCAGAAGCAGCGTGTGGAGGTTTCTCAGGCGTCCTATGTCCGCTGGAAGTGCCACGTGCCCCAGGCAGAGAGTCGTGAGAGCCGTGAGGCAGCAGAAGTCTGCTGGCAGCTCGCAGATTGAGTCGCACGAGAGCACGAAGAAGGTCTCCAGCGAGCTGAGCTGGCACACGGAGTCAGGGAGGAATGCCAGCAGCAGAGTACCCAGAACCAGGGTTTTCAGGGCAGTCAAACTCCCAATGTTTTCAGGCAGGCAGCTGAAGTGCTCGCAATTGATGATTGATAAGGTCTCCAGGTGCTCCAGGGAACAGACACCCTCCGGCAGCTCCTCCAAGGCCTCGCACCTGGAAACGGTCAGCTCACGCAGACGCGGCAGCAACTCCGCAATGCTGTCCGGAAATTGCTCCAATTCTCTACAGTCTGATATCTGCAGCCATTCCAGACTGGACAATGGCCAATCCGACAGCAATTCGACATCAAACGTGGGCCCGGCAGAGAGTGAAACGCTGGTGATGCTGGGAAGACGACGTACGTTGGCCAGTTGCTCCTCGTTCAACTCCGGGGAGGCGATATGAAGAGTGGTGAGAGAAGCGAGGGTCTCCAGATCTGGAGCTTCTAAGGCGGAAGCGGCTGTTAAAGCCAGGGTGTGAAGACGCGTGAGGTGGAAGAAGGAAGCGGGTAGGTGGACGTCCCGATGGAGGCAAAGCAGTGAAAGCTGCTCCAGCTGAGCGCTTCGCTGGAAGAAGCGATCCAGACCAGCCTCGGTGATCGGGTGCTTATGCTTCGGTCCGACGTAGTCTGGATGGTGAGTGATCCCGCGTCCCACGTGGAGAATCTTGAGCTGAGGACAGGATGATGCGAGGTGAGCGAGGAAGGAGTCGTCTAGGGTTTCCACGCTGTCGTCGCACAGATGGAGATGGGTGAGGTTCGGGAAGCACGCGACGACATTCGAGAGTTGTTGGAGGGAAATGGCTTGTTTTCTTTCGACGAGCAGCGTGGAGATGTTACGCTGAGCTACATCACGCCAACGACGGCACACCGACGACACGAGGAAGATCTTGGCAGCGGTTGGAATGGCGGAGGGGTACGATACTGGATACGAGTCTTCCTCCTCAGGACTGGGATCTTTGTCTAGAACGATCGAGCGAAGGTACCGTGGTTTTGGCGACAATGAATGCCGAGACCATAACGCGTCACTCTCGGGTTTCCAAGGGGTTGACTCCTCGCAATGCCATAGTATCTTAGCGAGGATGTCGTCGAGGAGGTCGTTAATATGTGTCGCTGTCTCCATCGTTTCCATAGCAGACGAGACTACTAAGCAACTATATATAAGGACGGAGTGCAGCGAGTTGAAGAAGCCTAGACAGAGTTTGATCTAGGTCTGCTAAACGAGTGTGACGTGCGTGCCTTCCTCGTACGCAACGTGCCTGACGTGGTGGATACTCTTTCGGGTGTAGGAGAGGGTTACCCGGTTCCCGAACCAGAGTGTTTTTGCTGTGTTTGATTTGTTTCGTGATTTCGCTGCTAGTTTTCCGCTATTTTGGTTTCGCTCCGATGCGTTGTGGATCGAGACCGTGCGTGGTCCACCAAAATCAATCTGTTTCGTTCCGCCATGAACCCGAAGCCTCGCCACCGAAGCACAATTGGTCCGGGAAACGCCGCGTTTGAAAGGGTCGAGATTGTCAAGCAACGGTTCGCCCTTGGCGCGGGTTTGCTTTGCTAATAATCATTTACCACTAAGGGCGCTTCACCTCTCAGTTCGAACAGCACGGTTGTTCGAACAGGCGAAATGTTACATTATTCGCCACTCCTCGTATGGGTGTTCGTGACGTCGCTAGTCGGAAATTTCGCGAATTTGAAACAGAGTTGTCACACGGGGCACGAAGCTCTCCATTCCGCACGTTCGAACAGAGTTGTTCGAACAAAGTTGGGTTTGGTGACAGGAATTCCGCATGGACGACTGATTTTATTGGTTAGCAGGCTTCGGGTCGCACACGAATGTTTGCGACCATTGCAAATGTCGCCATGCAGGAGAAAGTTCATCGATAAGGACATTGTTGTTGGGAAACAACAAGGTGAGCAGTAGTAGAAGAGCACGAAGAGACTGTTTGACTGGATGGGCGAAAAATGAGTCAAACTTGAATGGCAGACGACAGAATTATTTTTTTGCGACGTTTCGCGAAGTCGTCCAGCACTTGGCGACGTCGCATGTTCGAACAGGCTGTCACCTCTAGTCACGAGCTGTCACATTCACCAAGGTTTTCAAATTTGTGTTCGGATCTCGTCGGGAAACTGTTCGTACGGTGAATTCGTTACGTATGTTCGGATTTGGGCCTTCCAGCCCCGAGGTGATGCGCCCTAATCAAAGCGGTGCAAAATGATTCCGAGCAGTGAAGAGGAAAACCGTACCAGAGCGCACAGTATCACACTAAACCGGTGACACTAAGCAGTGGGCGAACAACACGCCATAATGAACCGAGATAACTCACCATCCGCATCTCGCCGTGAAATACTGAATGCCATCTCAACAGAACATAAGGACTCAGCGGAACTCACCATCCAGGCTCTCTCCTTTCGGATCGCGGTTCTGAAGTTCGGACACCATGTCAGCGGTGGGCGCGTCAGTCTGGCTTGGCATGCAACGAAAAAATTCTGGAGATTTGTTTGGCAGACGTGGCGACATTCTTTCGCGATAAAGCATCAATGGTTTCTCGATGCGACGGTTTTGATTTATTATTCCCGCCTGTCGCAGTAGGTTTTCTGCGTCGTCGCTCTTTTGGTTAGGAGTCCCCAGTTCGGCGGATTCGAAAAAGCTTGATAGGATGTTAGCTATTCCGGCTAGCGTCAGCCTTTCCTCCCGCCCTTCTCCCGCTCCCCCGCTCCCCCCAGTCCCCTCTTCCTCCCTTCCTCCTCCCCCTTCCCTCCCCCTCCCCGCGGACTTTCTTGCGGCTGTATTGAAGTTAAGTTCACATTGCCATGTTCACTCCTTCTGACTCTTCAATTTGACTCACCGAAACGCCGAGTCTCAAATCAATGGTGTTTGTTGTTTTATGTTGTTTAATGCCGAAACACCGAGTCTCAAATAAGACTAAATCACTTCAATACCCCACGTCTCCCTCCGGCTTCCCTGCCTGCATCTGTCTGCAACGATCCACTCGCCCTCTTTGACACTCGCTCTCCTCCCCTCTCTCTCCGTCCCTCTCTCTCCTTCTCTTCCCTCTCCGGCCCTCGCGCTCCGTCTCCCTCTCTCTCTACCCCCCTCTCTCCATCCCATTTCCCGTGCATACCAGCAGGTCTCCGGACGCGCCTGTTGGGGCCCCACAGCTCCGCTCTCAACCGTCCTACATTCAGCAGTACGCCTACTTTCCGCGTCCGCTTAATTTACGTGCATGGACTTTCAATTTTCTTCCGCACAAAGTTCCTCCTCCTTTTTTCCGTTTTTGAAGTGTGGATACGTGATGATTGCTCTACTTTCCTTTCCCTCTGGTTTCAACCACGTTTCCCCGTGTCTGCTCCTGTCAGCCACCCATTTCAGCAGCCACACACACCCGCCAGCACAAGCTCCACCCACCATGAGCAATGGCAGCAGCAGTGCCGTCAACAGCAGTGCCGTCAGCAGCAGTGTCGCCAGCAGCAGTGTCGCCAGCAGCAGTGCTGTCAGCAGCGGCAATTCTGTCAGCAGCGGCAATAGCAGCGGCGACGCACGTGTCAGTGTCGCATCTCCTGCCATCTGCCTACTCCTCCTCTCTGCGCCCAGACGACGTGGTGCGAGTGGTGCTGCGTGGGCCTGTAGAATTCGCCGTGTCAGGCAGCGCTGAGGGGCAGTGCTGACTGAGGGGCAGCGGCGTGGATGGTGGCATGGCATGGCAATAGGGGGCAGAGCCGGGGGCAGTGCAGAAGGCAGAGCAGAGGGCAGAGCAGAAGGCAGTGCAGAAGGCAGAGCAGATTTTTCGAGGGCTTCAGACAAGTGGACAGCAGAGGGCGTGGGCGTGGGCATTGTGAGGAGGTGGCATGGAGAGCAGGGCTAGTTCCCCCCATGCAGCTAGGGCCGCTCATCAACCTCGCCCATGCAAGTATCTTGAGGCTAGGCTCCTCAAAAGACAATATGTGAGGCGCCTAAAACATCATGCTGCTTGGGTCCCCTCACAAAACTCGCCCAGCAAAGTCACAACAGGTAGACAAGTTTCATTCCAGCCTCCTCACTCACTTCACCGTGCACCGCTCTCCACTCACGCCCTCTGCTCACGATCTCTCAGTCCCCTCATCTTCCACCTTGCCATTCAAGAACCACACACTTGTCCTACGCCCACTTTTGAGTCGACTCAAATGACCTGCGCCCATGCCATGCCAGCATATGATGCTTGCCTGAGAGGTCTCAAGGTTTGATCTCGAGAGTCTTCAGAGCATTTGAGTTGGCACCATAAATGGTAGCGCCAAGCTGAACCTTGCTCTCTGTCCATCTCTAGCTTGCAAGGCTAGTATGCTGGCTTGCTCTCATCTCCTCACCTCTCCCTCACCTCCCTTCTCTTGCTTACACCTTTCTTCTCTCTCACATCTTCCCTCCTGCCTCCCATCAGTTGGAATGGCCGCAACCCATGGGAGAGAGTGCTGCCAGCGCATGTGACCGTGCCTTTTATGCTGCTGATGTGGCAGCCACGGTAAGGCGCCTGACCTTTTTGCCCACTGTCACCAAGAATCTGCCTCCGTTTTTGTTCTAACTGTCTCAAGAGGTTGTTCCTTGGGGGTTTAGGTTGAGCAGAGCAGCACAGAACAGGGTAAAGGGAAGTAGGGCAGAGCAGGGCGATGCAGAGCAGGGCAATGCAGAGCAGGGCAATGCAGAGCAGGGCAATGCAGAGCAGGGCAATGCAGAGCAGGGCAATGCAGAGCAGGGCAATGCAGAGCAGGGCAATGCAGAGCAGGGCAATGCAGAGCAGGGCAATGCAGAGCAGGGCAATGCAGAGCAGGGCAATGCAGAGCAGGGCAATGCAGAGCAGGGCAATGCAGAGCAGGGCAATGCAGAGCAGGGCAATGCAGAGCAGGGCAATGCAGAGCAGGGCAATGCAGAGCAGGGCAATGCAGAGCAGGGCAATGCAGAGCAGGGCAATGCAGAGCAGGGCAATGCAGAGCAGGGCAATGCAGAGCAGGGCAATGCAGAGCAGGGCAATGCAGAGCAGGGCAATGCAGAGCAGGGCAATGCAGAGCAGGGCAATGCAGAGCAGGGCAATGCAGAGCAGGGCAATGCAGAGCAGGGCAATGCAGAGCAGGGCAATGCAGAGCAGGGCAATGCAGAGCAGGGCAATGCAGAGCAGGGCAATGCAGAGCAGGGCAATGCAGAGCAGGGCAATGCAGAGCAGGGCAATGCAGAGCAGGGCAATGCAGAGCAGGGCAATGCAGAGCAGGGCAATGCAGAGCAGGGCAATGCAGAGCAGGGCAATGCAGAGCAGGGGAAGAGGACACCTGGAAGCACTCATCTGGACCATGCTTCAATGCACTCATCCGGATGCACTCATCTGGACCATGCTTCAATGCACTCATCCGGATGCACTCATCTGGACCATGCTTCAATGCACTCATCCGGATGCACTCATCTGGACCATGCTTCAATGCACTCATCTGGACCATGCTTCAATGCACTCATCTGGACCATGCTTCAATGCACTCATCTGGACCATGCTTCAATGCACTCATCTGGTCCATGCTTCAATGCACTCATCTGGACCATGCTTCAATGCACTCATCCGGATGCACTCATCTGGACCATGCTTCAATGCACTCATCTGGACCATGCTTCAATGCACTCATCTGGACCATGCTTCAATGCACTCATCTGGACCATGCTTCAATGCACTCATCCGGATGCACTCATCTGGACCATGCTTCAATGCACTCATCCGGATGCACTCATCTGGACCATGCTTCAATGCACTCATCCGGATGCACTCATCTGGACCATGCTTCAATGCACTCATCCGGATGCACTCATCTGGACCATGCTTCAATGCACTCATCTGGACCATGCTTCAATGCACTCATCTGGACCATGCTTCAATGCACTCATCTGGACCATGCTTCAATGCACTCATCTGGACCATGCTTCAATGCACTCATCTGGACCATGCTTCAATGCACTCATCTGGACCATGCTTCAATGCACTCATCTGGACCATGCTTCAATGCACTCATCTGGACCATGCTTCAATGCACTCATCTGGACCATGCTTCAATGCACTCATCTGGACCATGCTTCAATGCACTCATCTGGACCATGCTTCAATGCACTCATCTGGACCATGCTTCAATGCACTCATCTGGACCATGCTTCAATGCACTCATCTGGACCATGCTTCAATGCACTCATCTGGACCATGCTTCAATGCACTCATCCGGATGCACTCATCTGGACCATGCTTCAATGCACTCATCTGGACCATGCTTCAATGCACTCATCTGGACCATGCTTCAATGCACTCATCTGGACCATGCTTCAATGAACTCATCTGGACCATGCTTCAATGCACTCATCTGGACCATGCTTCAATGCACTCATCTGGACCATGCTTCAATGCACTCATCTGGACCATGCTTCAATGCACTCATTGTACTTCCCCTTCCCCTGCCACTAGATGAGTTTTTCCCCCGAGCAAGTGCCAGCCCATCTATTGGTCACTCAGCCTTGCCTCACTCGATCCCCGCTGTACCACATCTGCCTTCCCTTTCATGCCTCTTTTCCCTTAATACCTACTGCATTGACCACACCACAAGGCCATGGCATGCCATGCATGATCCACCAGCAGCAGCCTCACTTGAGGCGCGTGTGATGGTTCATTCTTCCTTGTCACTTCGCTGCCTTGCCTTCTCTTGCCCAGCGCACTGTACATCGTTTTACCCGTCCACTCTCATGTCACCTCGCACTACATTTTGAAGGTGAGGCATGTACCTGCAGCCTGTGTGTGTGGCCTGGCAGGGTGTTGGATGCTTGTGAGAGCAGTCAGCATGGATGCAGCGCAGCAGCAGCGTGGCAGCAGGCCAGTGCAGCAGGCAGTGCAATCGCCTTCCCACTTCCTCTATTTCTAAATGAGAGTTTTTGAGCCGGTGCTAGCCCATATGTTGGCGACTCAGCCTTGCCTCACTCGATCCCCTCTCTACCACATCTGCCTTCCCTTTCATCCCCTCTTGAAAAGCCACTGCAGTGACCACAAGGCAACAGCATGCGATGCATGATGGACCAGGAGGCTCACATGAGACGCATCTTAAGATGCCTTGTTCTGAGCAGCGGGCAGAGCAGAGGGTAGAGCAGGTTAGACGGGGGCTTACAGACGAGTAGGCAACAGAGGGCGTGGGAGTGGGCATGCGAGGATGGTGGCATGGAGATCAGGTTAGATGGGGGCTTACAGCCGCGTGCAGCTCGGGCCCATGACCAGCGTCGCCCAGGCAAGTCACAACAAGTGGACCAGTCTCCATCCACCCCCCCTCACACTCTTCACCATGCACCTCTCTCCATTAACGCCCTCAGCTCACTCTCTCTCAGTGCCCTCAGCTCACTCTCTCTTAGTCACCTCAACTCGCACCTTGCCAGTCGCGCCCTTGTCCTGCACCCATGCCACCATTCGAGGCTTGCCTGAGGGGTCTCAAGAGTCGATCTCGAGACTTTTCAGGCTGCTAAATGGTGGCGCATGAGTGGTTGCTCCAGGCTGGCCCTTGCTCTCCGTCCATCCCCAGCAATCAAGCCTGCTGCCATCTGCATGCTGCAATGCCCTCTTTGCCTCACCTCCCTCACCTCCCCCATTCTCGCCTCCCTCACCTCTCTCGCCTCCCTCACATACTTTTCCATACAGCTTCCCTCCCGCCTCCCATCAGTTGGAACGGTCCCAACCCGGGTGGGTGGGGGTGCCGCTAGTGCAAGTGGCCATGCTTGTTGGTGCTGCTGAGGTGGCAGCCACAATCACCCGACTGCTTTCATCTATCAGATGATGCTGCATGGTGCCACGGCTCTCTCTCCTGCAAGTGGCCATGGCTGTTGTGTTGGTGCTGCTGAGGTGCTGGTTGTTGTATTTCAGCGCTTTACTGTGGGCAGTCCAGGCTGATTAAGATCATGGGGCTTGGTGCAGAGCAGAATATTCGGAAGAGTTCAGCCGTTCCAAAACATATGCGGTGCATGCACCCTACTACACGTTTTAGGCATGACCCAACCCAGTGATCATTCACTTGGATGCTTGATGTCCCTAAAACAATGGTAGGTACCTAGTACCGAAGTACAAAACAAGGCCATGAAACGAGGATGTGATCACTGTTGTGGATATGGAATTTGTGATGAGAATGGCGGCAGTGCCAGTAGTGAAGGTACCGTAGTAACATAGATGGCAGCGATGGTAACACAGCAGCAGCAGTCAGGCAGGGAAGTAATTACCCTCAGCATCATTCCTCGAGGTGTTGAGAATCGGAACCCTCCCTAACTATCTCTTCAGATTGTATTCGTTCCTCGCCTTGCCTTCCTATCCGTACTGCCCACCTCAGAGCCATCACATCACAGCCAAGGAAACAGCCTATCAAAGAGATGCTATGGTACGGTACATGCCATAGTACCTTACTGGTACGGTACCTACCTACTTGCATATTCTCAGCCCGTACACCTCATTGATGCTTCTGGGGAGCACTGACCCAACACTGTCCTTCACAAGCCTACAGTCATACACATCCAGCATCCGAAGTGCCTTCAGCTCACCCAAATCCCCCGGCAATGCCTCCAGCTGCGCACAGCCTGACAAACTGAGGGATCTGAGCCGCTGGAACTGTGCAGCAGTGGGACACAGGGAGCGAATGGGGCAGTTTGAAATGGTAAGCTGGTTCAGGCGGGCAAGCTGTGTGAGCGAGGCGGGCAGCTGCTCAAGCTGTTTGCAGGATCCAATCAGCAGCTCCCGCAGCCCAGATAAGGCACCAATGGCAGGCGGAAGAGAAGCCAGGTTGGGCGCGTCAAAAACCCCCAAGGACGTCAGGTTCTGCAGCGCACTCACACTCGCTGGCAGCTCCCTCAACTTGTACGCACTTATCAGCAGCAGCTTCCGCAGCTGCGGCACTGCGGACCCGATGTCGGCCGGCAGCCTTTGGAGACTCCACGCGCAGTCAATGATCAGCGTGCGCAGGCGGGAGAGGAACGTCAAGGCGAATGGAAGCTCCTCCGCATTGCCTCCCAATGACAGCCGTAAATGCTCCACATGCGACAGGCTCCTGCTCACAGCGACCCCACACGCCACCGCAACTACGTCCAGGCGGAGCGTTCCAAGCCCCGTCAGCCGGGAGACCTCTGGCAGAGCCATCGCTTGACTGTAATTTCCCCAACTAAGCCATTCAACCGAAGCCGGCAGGACTAGAGGAGGCTGTGTCAGCCTGTCACATCGGGCCACCTCCAGCCGCTTGAGCCGCGTCAGGCCGTCCAGCCTTGTGGGCACCGAGGCCAGATTTTCGCAGTCAGCGAGAGAGAGAGCTTCCAGGGCAGTCAGGTCCGTCACGGACGCTGGAAGAGCCGTGAGCTGAGGGCACCATGAGACGTGCAGCTCGCGCAGGCTGCTGAGATCACCCACGCCCTCTGGCAGCTCCTCCACGCCGCACAGGAGCAGCTCAAGCCTCGTGAGCGATGCGACCTCGGATAACGAGCATGGGAGATGCTTATGTCCAAGGATGTCTCTCACAAGCAGCGTGTGGAGGTTACTCAGGCGTCCCATGTCCGCTGGAAGCGCCACGTACCCCAGGCAGAGAGTCGTGAGAGCCGTGAGGCAGCAGAAATCTGCTGGCAGCTCGCGGATTGATTTGCAGGATAGCAGGAAGAAGGTCTCTAGAGAGCCGAGCTGGCACATGGAGTCAGGGAGGCTCGAAAGGGGCAGCTCTTCAAGAACCAGAGTCTTCAGGGCAGCCAACCTCCCAATGCTTTCAGGCACGCGGCGAAATTCGCCGCACTCGATGACTGACAAGGTCTCGAAGTGCTCCAGAGAACAGAATCCTTCCGGCAGCTCCTCCAAGGCATCGCATCTGGAAACGGTCAGCTCACGCAGACGCGGCAGCAACTCCGCAATGCTGTCCGGAAGCCGCTCCAATTCCCCGCAGCCTGATATCCGCAGCCGTTCCAGGCTCGTGCATGGCCAATCCGACAGCACCATTCTGCCGATGTCCAACGATTTTATCAACGGTAGCTGTGCGATGGCGAGGGCAGCCGAGCCCGAGTCACCACTGGCAGGAGAAAACGAGGTCGCGGGAGAGAGTGAAAGGCAGGTGATGCTGGAAAGACGACGCACGTTGGCCAGTTGCTCCTCGGTCAACTCCGGGGAGGCGATATGGAGAGTGGTGAGCGAGCCGAGGGTCTCCAGATCTAGAGCTTCTAAGGCGGAGGCGGTTGGTACAGCCAGGGTGTGAAGACGCGTGAGGTGGAAGAAGGAAGCGGGTAGCTCAGTGTCTCGATGGAGACAGAGCAGTGACAGCTGCTCCAGCTGAGTGCATCGCTGGAAGAAGCGATCCAGGCCGGCTTCGGTGATCGGGTGCTTATGCTTCGGTCCGACGTATTCCCGATGCTGAGTGATCCCGCGTCCCACGTGGAGAGTCTTGAGCTGAGGACAGGATGACGCGAGGTGAGCGAGGAAGGAGTCGTTTAGGGTTTCCACGCTGTCGTCGCACAGATGGAGATGGTTGAGATTCGGGAAGCACGCGACGGCATTCGAGAGTTGTTGGAGGGAAATGGCATGCTTTCGTTCGACGAGCAGGGTGGAGACGTCACGGTGAGCTACATCGCGCCAACGACGGCACACCGACGACACGAGGAAGATCTTGGTAGCGGTTGGACCCGCGGAGGGGGACAATACTGGATACGACTCTTCCTCAGGAATTGGATCTTCGTCTAGAACGATCGAGCGAAGGTACAGTGGCTTCTGGTACAATGAATGCCGAGACCATAATGCGTCACTGTCCGACTTCCAAGGTGTTGACTCCTCACTATGCCATAGTATCCTAGCGAGGACGTCGCTGGGAAGGTCGTGAATATGTGTCGCTGTCTCCATCGTTTCCATAGCAGACGAGATTGCTAAGATCCTATGAAAGAACTGGATGCAGAGACCTCGAAGCCTAGACCCTATTAACGAGTGTGACTTGACTCGTGGTATCTCAACGGAAGATGAGGTCGTTCAGCAGTCGTTTGAATGATGCTCGCAACTTGGACGATGGATCTGTTCCAGCTTGAGACATTGTTCTCAAGTTGCTGTGAACTACGGTAAGGTAGATCGATTAGGAAACTAGAGCCGTTCGTACGGTCCTGCAAACTAATGACTAGAGCGATTGGGAAGCAAGTGGTGGTTTAGTGGAGCAATGGCGGTGAAGGCCAGATCTGGCTGGAGGGAGCTTGACTAGTGATGGCTACTCTCGTGCCTCGTAGCTTGAAGATGGTGGATTCTGGATCTCGGGCTTGGTTCTTCTGCCGTAGTTTCGCTGTCTTGTCGCTGAGGTTCGCCGCATTTCGTCGTGGAGGAACCCATGTGGCCCAGCATGTTCACTCGGCTTGTGTTACCGTTTCGTTCGTTGAGCCACATGGACGACGAAGCCGACAGATTTTCGAAGAAACAAAATCGCCCCAAGCCCTTTCGTGTACGGACGAACGAGTCTTGGTAACACGTTCGCAGGAAACAGCTCTTCGCCAACTCTTCATTCGGCTCGCTCACACCACTGACACTAGACCCAGATATCAACCCAGCATATTTGCTTCAATCCAACAGAAGAGTTTCTCGTATCAGCAGAATTGTTCTCAATATCAGGACGCTACTTACTTTTCGGCTTCAAAGTACCTTCAGCTGCGGCTTTCTAAGCTCAAATTCCGAGTAGCACATGGCTCCAGACGCGCGCGCTACGATCTACGTTATTATAAACGCGTCCCCAGGCATAGGTGGGTCAGTCCAAGTGTCGTGAAACGGGACCACTCACAGATGTGGTTACCACCGATCAGGTACAGCAGGCCTATCATAGTCTGTGTTTCTGGAACCTCTCAATTTTCCAAGAAGCTTCTCCCTTTTACTTGCTCTCAGCCCACCCACAGCTTCATTCCTGTCCTGCATCTCTTCACAACACTGTCCCCTATATTTTCCTTGTTCCCCCTCTTCCCCTCCCCTGATTCCCCCTCCCCTCCCCCCCTACTCATCCCGCTTCTCCCCCCTCTCCTTCCCCCTTCCTCATCCCGCTTCTTCCCCACCCCTTTCCCTCTCTCTTCCAGTGCATAGCAGCAGGACGACCAGACACGCCTGTTGTTCAGGGCCCACAGCACCGCTCTCAACCGCACCATCCCCAGAAGTATGGCCCTCCTTTGCTGAAGCTTCTCTCTTGCGCCTTCCCTTGTCTTCCCCTACCTGCCGAATCTCCCCTTTCTTGCACCCAGCTCTCCCTTCTCCCATCGCCTACACTATCGGTCTCCTTCCCCCCATGTGCTCTCTTCTTCTTCCCTCCTGCCCTCCCGTGTTTTCAGCTCTACGTTCCAAGCTTTCATTAAAGCACCACCACCACCACCACCACCACCACCACCACCACCACCACCACCACCACCACCACCACCACCACCACCACCACCACCACCACCACCATGTGATGACGTCCACGCTCCCTTTTTCCACTTCCCTCACCCCCTCTCCTCCACCCGCCCACCCATCGTGTCTCCCTTTTCTCCCTCTCGTTGTCTGTTCAACAGTCGAACGCCCTTGAGACCACCGCAACCAGCAGCATCACCAGCACCAGCAGCCGTGCCCCACCAGCAACACCGTCAGCACCAGGAACATCCTCAGAGCTCTCTCTCTCTGACCGCATGCTCCTCGTTTCCGGGCCCAGACGGACTGGCGGGAGTGCTGCTGCTTGCACCTCCCGCAACCCCACATGCTGACCCCGCCACTAGCGTCTCTGGCATCAATGATACCTTAGCTGCCACTCATAGTGCTGCTGCTAGTGGCGGGGATGGAAGTAGGGGGGACAGGGGAAGCAGGCAAGCGCTCAGGGCAGGGCAGGGAAAGGGGCGGAGCGGAGGGCGTGGGAGTGGATGTGTGAGGAGGTGGCGAGGAGGCCCGGGCAGATCAGCATGGTGCAGCTGGGAGGGACCCATGACCAACCTCGCCCGGGTGAGTGCTTGCACGAGTGCTTGACTCCTTGCCCCTTGTTTCCATTCCATGCATCCCATATCCTCCCTCCCCTCTCTCCCCTCCCCTCTCTCCGCTCCCTCTCCTCCCTCCCCTCCCTGCCCTTGCTCTGCTGCTTCTGCCCTCCCACACCTCCCTGACATTGCTCATGCCCTCTCCCAGTGTCCATCCCTCGTGAGCAAGGTTGCTGCCATATGAATACCGTGTATTAGAACATGATTACAGTAGCATGTCAGTGGGAATCCGATAGTGAGAACATCGGCATGAAGAAAGCAACATTGTGGGGATGAGAGAAGTAGAAGCTCAAGAATGATGGCGATACAGTACCATGCTAAGCAGCTGCCAATTTGTCAGGAGAATCAAGCGTAGATGATGCTTTTCATGCGCATTCCATAACCCTTTCCCCTCTTGTCCATCCATCCCCTTCGCTCCCTCCCTTCTTAACCCTACACTTTCTTTGCTTCCCAATTGCCCTCACCCTCAGCATCAACATTATCAGACCTGGGCAGGCAGATGCTTCAGCATTCCTGGACTCACCACATGCTTCACTCCATCACTCCAGAACTTCACCAACTCATTCCTCTCTCAGGATCGTCAGCTGTAAGTGTTCTTACAGACAACATCTCGTCATTCTTCTTACCCGTTTCTTCTTACCCTCTCACCACCGTAATCAGAAGTAGTCTCAAAGACTTCTAGTCGCATTCAGGAGTCACAATGACGCCTTGTCACATACATCCATCTACATGCCTCCGCTCTGTATCCTCTCCCTTCCCCCTTCTCACATGCCCCCCCTCATTAACCGTGAGTACCATCATCACCAATGAGTCTTGCATCATAGTCCATGTGCCCTGCCATCAGTCCATGTGCCCTGCCATCAGTCCATGTGCCATCTCTGCCGTCTCACCACGCCAAACCCCACCCACCACATCACCTTTCCCCTCACACCCCTTCCCTTCATCGCTCCCTTGCCCTCTCCGCCCGCTGCACCGACAAACCAGCTGTTGCAGACCCACTGGGGAATATGCACTGCATAAGCTGAAGGCACGGCATGTCGTGACACAGTGACACCGGCACAAGGAGAAGGCACGGCATGGTTGATGGTCCAGCAGCCTGCGTGGCCTGCATTGTGTCTCCGCCCGCTGCACCGATAAACCAGCTGTTGCAGACCCACCGGAGAATATGCGTTGTACAAGCCCAAGACACGGCATCTCGTGACGTGACACAGGCGCACTGGCATAAGGAGAAGGCACGGCGTGGATGAGGGTCCAGCAGCCCATGTGCGTGGCCTGAGTGTGTCAGCTGCTCATGAGAACAGCTGGCACAAATGCAGCAGCATGGCAGCTGGTGCAGCAGGCAGTGCAGCCAGAGGGCTTGCAGCTCCACTCGTGCAACATGGGATGGGGGTTCTCCTGGTGAATAGCGTTCTGTTGTACCTTTTACCCACCCCAGCATTGCGTATGTGAGGACAGAAGAGCGTTCAACCAGCTTGCCAAGCAGCCCTGCATGATGCTACTACTAGTGGTACCGAAAGAGTCCTCAGCAATAATGCTTTCACCGATGGTGATGCTGGCACACATGTAAGAATAGTCTTGTGAGAGAATAAATGTAGTGGGCGCTCTGTAACATTGTTACTAAAGCTCAATTGGTGAATGTGTTGGCATTAAGAATTCCTTTTTGTTTACATGACAGCATGGAAGAAAGAAACAAGTTGTCAATACAGTGAATGCCGTATATTGTGTGCCTATCTGCACCACTGATGTCAAGTTCACAACTTGAAAAAGGGCAAATCCTCTGCAAAATGATAAACACATTATGTAAAATATCCATGCCCCGCCTCTACAACCCAGCAACCCAGCATTATGTAACTACACCCACCAAGGAACATTCAAACATCCAGCTACCTTCCGCACCCCACCCGGTCACTTCTTTCCTCCGAATGATCCCTTCCCCAGCAGCCTACCATCAACACATCCGCTGTCCAGGTTCGGAATCTTGTAGATAGTCTCGCCATCCTCTTCTTCAAAGCACAGACATGCGGTGATCACTGCTGGGAATAATAAGTCTTAAAGCGCCTCTGTCGTGTCGAAACTCAGGACACTAGCGAAGCAGTCCGAATCGAAGCACCACGAGTCAACCCTCGGAGGTTGAGGTAACCGCCTGGAGGTTACATGAAGGTCAAAGGTCAGCGACCTTTGACTTGACAAATACAGCGCGACAGCAAGGACACACAACTGACTCGCCATTGAGCAGTTGCCCGAGTCGCACTGTATCGAATCGCAACAGCAAAAACAGTTTAATTATATCTATTCGTATTCCTTGTACTCTTATATAAAGCCTTGTATTTGCTTGTTTTACTTAACTTACTTTGCCCTCACATACTAGCGCAAGGTGGTTCAAGGACCTTCATTTAACGCTTCCGCTATTACAACTCTACTCAAACTTAAACTCTACAAAGATCCTAGGGCACCTCAGCCCAACATGGTATGAGAGCAGTTAGAGTTTAAAGTTATCCTCTTTTAACACTCAAATACAAGAAGACATGTCTACTAGGAAGGAGAGGAGCTCCTCCAACGGTTCTCCAGGCACTACTCCTACTCCACCTCCTATCTCTGGCCTACAGACAGAAGAAGGAACTACCACGAGACCAGCAGCTGGATCCACGGAAACACCCGCAGGCTTCGATCCAAGCAGGATGGAGAAGTTCTTCTCCTTCATGTCCTTCTACGAGCAGCACCAGCAAGGAGTGCCTGCGCAGTCAAACAACAGCAACAACAACAACGTGACTCCTATGAGTCTCGACGGCTCATCCTACGCACGCGGAATTCAACAACAACAACAGCAGCCTACCTTTGCGCAATACGAGCCCCAGCGTGGCTCCGTCAGCTTCATGCCGCAACCTCAATCTGCACCAGGACAAGAAAGGGGATTGGACGCATTACAAGTTCAATCGCAATTCGCGCATGTCCTAAAGCTGCAAACGACAAAGCCCTTCGACGGCAAAGACTTCTTCACCTGGTCGTTCGAGTTCGAGCTTATGATGGAAGGAGCACAGATTCTCGGCTTCTTCGACGGGTCCCTGCCATATCCAACAAACGGGACGCAATATAAGCAGCAATATACGTATCAATCGATGATGGCGTACACGATACTGCTGAGGAACATCACCCCGACCCAGTAGCAGAACATCAGGACTTACCGAGGCTACGGCAACTCCTCGGAGCTCGCGTACAATCACCTGAAGAACCTGTATCAAGCAACAGACAGCGTAATTCAAAGCAGGTTAATGGCGCAACTGACAACGATTGAAATGAAGCCAGGCGAGAAAGGCATGGCTTATATCAGCCGCTGTCGCGAACTGCGCGACAAGCTTCTTCGATGCGGAGGGTCGATTTCAGAAGACGCTTTTGTCACGGTGGTCATCGGCGGTCTCGGACCCCACTGGCGCTCCACTCGCGCCATATTGCGAGCACACGGGAGGATCTCCAAAGCGGCACTCTGCACTGAAATCCACGCCGAACAGCAGGACATGGACCTGCAAGAAGAAAGACACAAGAAGAAAACATTAGCACCGGAGTTTGCGTTTCACACTCAACGACGATACAACGGCAACAACAATCGACAACAGCAACAAGTGAAGACGGTACCTCCGTTCTGCCACATCTGCAAGACTTCGGGCCATCCCCGCACGCACTGCCCGTCTCGTCAGCAGTCGACGACACCACAGCGACAACTCCGGCCTTCAAGCTCCCAAGTTGCTTCAACGCAAGCAAATCCGACGACCACAACCCAAGCCTCAACGACTTCAACTGGACAATCTGCACAAGGAACAAGAAGCATCGTCAACTGCATGGTGGAGATAACCGATTCTTGCACACCCGAGTCACCACCCCACTACTCACCAGAAGAAGAGCTTGACAACAGGACGCCTCGTCGCGAATCACTCCAGCCGAATCCGACGTACGCCGCCATCGCTCAAAGCGAACCGTCCGGCCAAGACACTTGGTTCTTGGACAGTTGCTGCGGACAACATATGTGCTCCTCCGGGCGCTTCGTTCAACGCGAACATCGACTCCAGCGAGAAGTAGTCATCACGGTCGCCAACAATCAGAACCTGCGCACACGACGACAAGGAGTGGTACAACTTCAGTCACGAGAGACAAATGTCATATTACATATGTCAAAGGTACTTATCGCGGAGGGACTCGGCTATAACCTACTGAGTGTTAGCCAGCTGATGGCGAAAGGGATCCACTTGGAAGCCGACAGCACCACCCAGGAGTTTAAGTTATACCTAGGGAAGGGCGGCCTTTACATCGGAAAGGCGGTGTTGAAGAACAACGTCTTCGTTCTTGATTTCGTCCCCGACCTGGGCACTGCAGACAGTGACGCCATCGTCAACTTCACCGACTGGACACATCCTCCGGACCTCGATCCTGACTTCAGCCCGGGAGGCTTCTGGTACTCGCACACCATCCCTGAAGCAGAACGAACACGAGCGTTAGCAACGATTCAACAAACGGCAGCAGCAGAGACAACATCGGCAGCAGCAGAGACAACATCGGCAGCAGCAGAAACAACATTGGCAGCAGCAGAGACAACATCGGCAGCAGCAGAACCATCATCGGCAGCAGCAGGACCAACAACACCAGTCATCGTCGACGAAGCACCACCGACACCCGCACAACAGCTGAACCCGACTCAACGAGAAGTCCACCGAAGCGCAAACCTCGTCGCCAGCTTCTACTCCAACTCCGACGTGTATCAACGTTCACCCGGACACCGCGCCTGCGAAGACATCTGGCATGCACGCACAGGACATCCAAGCAACACTGTGTTAAACAACACGATACAAGCAGGAGTCCTAGACAAGGATTCGCTACTACTAATCGACGGCAGAGAACTTCAACGGGCACGAGGAACTTGCAACATCTGCCCTGAAGCCGACTTACCCCATCGACCGTTTTCTTCTCACCACAACCCGAGCGCACCTGCATACGCACCACTCGAGAAAGTTTACAGCGACATCCTTTTAAATCGCGAACCAGGACAAGTTACCTACAATTACACGATAACCTTCATCGACGCCGCCACTCGATACGTCTGGCATCGAAACCTACCCAGCCGTGACATGGCACTAGCAGCATTCGCCGCTTGGCTACCGGTAGCAGAAAGGGAATCAGGAACACAACTGAAAAGCTTCCAGTCAGACGGAGGAGGAGAGTACACCTCTCAGCGCTTCAAGCAGTACCTGGCGGAAAGGGGAATCAAGCAACTCCTCTCCCTTCCCTACGCACATCAGCAGCAAGGTGTTGCAGAAAGAATGAACAGGACTCTGCAGAACAGCATGCGCAAACTACTACGTGGCATTCGGCTACCCAACCACCAGTGGCCAGCAGCAATGGACCATGCTGTCATGCTGCACAACCTGCTGTCGTCGTCGTCACTCCCGAACAACGCATCACCGCATCTGCTGTGGACAGGAAAGCTGGGCAGCACAAGAATGTTACGAGTTTTCGGATGCATGGTACAGTACCGACCCCCAGAAGCACGAGCGGGAAGATTTTCACAACGGGCGCAGTGGAGACTACACCTCGGCATAGAGAAAAATTACAACGCGTGGAAAATCTTCGACGTCCACACAAAGGAAACAGTAGCAGCACGTGATGTGATTTTCTACGAGCGACTCACCCTTCAGACGTACCTCGCCAACTTGCACGAGAATCGGGACCTCACAGGTGGCTTTCGTGGTGACCGAGCCTTCGCCTCAGCAGCGGACGAAGCAGACTGGGATGAACAGAACGTCGACAACGCATCGGAAGAAGCCGGACCTCTCCCGTACTGCTCCGTCGACGTGCCCATGGACGAAGAAAATCCTCGCGACAGTAACAACGCCGAAGTCTTCTATCACTTCGCCGATAACGGTTACGTAACGCCTGCGACAGTCAACACAAATGACGCAGAACGCATAGGACCAAATTTCATACCCGACCCAGAAGCGGGAGACGAAGCAGCTTATCCCGAGGATCCAACACTACCCCGATACTCACAGACTGGGCTGCAAATCCTCGGTCTCGTCACCGCAGTCCATGGGAACACAGGCAACGCTCTTCCTAAAGAGCCTGCGATAGTTCAGCAGGCTCTGGGGGGGGAACACAGGGAGAAATGGCGTGAAGCCATGGACAGGGAATTAAAGGCATTGGAGGAACGCAACACCTGGAAGGTCGTTCCCGCAAGCGTGGCAAGGAACAAAACCATTCTCACCGGGAAATGGGTCTTCCGCATCAAAACAAAAGCAGACGGCACAATTGAGAAGTTCAAAGCACGCTGGGTCGTGCGTGGATTCGACCAGGAGCAAGGACGAGACTTCACCGAGACATTCGCCCCAGTTAGTCGACACACCTCTCTCCGAATCCTTCTCTCCGTCGCCGCCATGAAGAAGAAGAAGCTGCGACAAATCGATGTCGCCAACGCATTCCTCTACGCACCCGTCGACGCCGAAATCTTCGTCGAACTCCCACACGGCACTCACGGAAATCCTAATCAGGTCTGCCAGCTACTGAAATCGCTCTACGGAATCAAACAAGCCCCACGGCTGTGGCAACAACATCTACACACCCGTCTCACTCGCATCGGATTCCGCCAACTACCTCACGACCAAGGAATGTATCCATTTACCAAAGGCGCAGACTACATCCTGCTGATCGTCTACGTCGACGACCTACTCTACATCGGCTCCACCGACGACGTCACTACCTGGTTCGAAGGGGAGCTGCAGAAAGACCTCACGCTCACAGTCTCTTCTACCGTGACCCAGTACCTCGGGCTCAACATCCGCAAAAAAAGAAAATGCGATCTACCTAAGCGCCGAGAAATACGTCGACACCATCGCCAAACGTTTCTCACTCACACCTACCGCCATCGCCACGCCATACCGCTACACGGTAGAAAGCGACAAAGGAAATTCCGCTCCACTCAAAACTGCCGGAATACGTGACTACCAGAGGAAGCTGGGCTGCCTCCTCTTCGCAGCCGTCACCTGTCGCCCGGATTTGTCCTACTCCGCAAGCCAACTCGCTACCTACCACCTGAAGCAGAGCATCTGGCGGAGCTCGATCGCGCACTACACTACTTCGTAAGCACACTGACGATCGGCGTGACTTACCACAAGAGCGAAGCTACGACGACGAAACTAATCGGCTACGTCGATGTCGATCATGCCGGCGATTCAGATAATAGGCGCTCTCGCACTGGCTACGTCTATCGTCTCGAGCCTACCGGACCTATCTCCTGGCAGTCGAGCAAGCAGGAACTAATTGCTCTATCTTCAGCTGAAGCAGAATATATCGCCCTCTGCTCAACCACCAAGGAAGGACTCTACCTTCGCGAGCTGATGGAAGAAGCAAAGTTAGCCGAGTTACCCAACTTCACCCTATTCTGCGACAACCAATCTGCAATTCGCATCACCAACAAAAGCGGATTCACGAACAGAACGAAGCATATCGCTCTGCGATACTTCTTCGTGAAGGACGAGATCGAGAAAGGAAAACTCGAATTATCATACTGTCCCACGTCCGAGATGGCAGCCGACTACTTGACCAAGAAACTCGGAAAACAGAAGTTCGAGTACTGCATGCTGCTGACTGGACAAGGCCACGTCACCATCAGCGACACTCCAGAAGCGAAGGGGAGTGTTGGGAATAATAAGTCTTAAAGCGCCTCTGTCGTGTCGAAACTCAGGACACTAGCGAAGCAGTCCGAATCGAAGCACCACGAGTCAACCCTCGGAGGTTGAGGTAACCGCCTGGAGGTTACATGAAGGTCAAAGGTCAGCGACCTTTGACTTGACAAATACAGCGCGACAGCAAGGACACACAACTGACTCGCCATTGAGCAGTTGCCCGAGTCGCACTGTATCGAATCGCAACAGCAAAAACAGTTTAATTATATCTATTCGTATTCCTTGTACTCTTATATAAAGCCTTGTATTTGCTTGTTTTACTTAACTTACTTTGCCCTCACATACTAGCGCAAGGTGGTTCAAGGACCTTCATTTAACGCTTCCGCTATTACAACTCTACTCAAACTTAAACTCTACAAAGATCCTAGGGCACCTCTGCCCAACAATCACGAGAGTCCTGAGGCTGGTGAGGCTGTCCATGGTATCTGGCAAGCATACCATGTTAGCCCAGTTGCTCAAAGTCAGCCGCTGCAGTCTTGAAAGATTATCAATTATAAGCGGAAGCCGATTCAGGTCTGGGAAACCAAGCAGGTGGAGGGATGTCAGACTCAAGAGATGGCAAAGGGATAACGTGAAGGCATTTTGATCCTCATAACCACCCGTGCAGCTCGCTGGCCAACTCAACTCAAGGGACGTCAGCTTGCTCCAGTGCTGGGTCAGGGATGGAGGGACATTGACAACACCATCGCAGTAGGTGAAGGAGAAGGTGCGCAGATTGGAGAGCCTGGAAACGGCATCTGGAAGATTGGAAAGACCTTTGAGCTGGCTCAGCTCGAGATGCTCCAGCGGCGACAGACAATCCATCCTCTGTGGAAGGTCCATCAGTTGTGAACAATTCTTAAGTATCAGCACGTGGAGGTTAGAAAGGGTGCAGAAGGAATCGGAGATCGTGTGGAAGGACTCGCAGTTTTTAATGGCTAGCGTCTTGAGAGAAACGAGGCCTGATACCCTTGCTGGGAGGGATGCCACCCTGATACAATACACAACCTCAAGAACTTGCAAAGAACGGAGATCGAAAAAGGAATCCGGGAGTTCTACAATGAGATTATTGTGATGACACTAAAACTCTCGGAGGTTCTGAAGCTGGCCGATGGTGTCAGGAAGAGCGATTAAACCATCCAGTTCGCAAATGCTGAGTTTGACCAATGTCTTCAGCTCACCGAGGGAATCCGGTAGACTCTCTAACGGTCCGTCATTTCGGAACAGCTTCAGCTCGGTCAGCCCCGTGACACGTGACCGAGTGATTCTGGGAAGTGGTGAATCCACCTTGCGGCGAGTGTCAGCTTGGTCAGGGAAGATAAATGGTCGAAACTATCAGGATAATCGTCGAAGTTGGCGTTCAGATAGACCTCCGTCAGGGATGAAAGATTGAAGAAGGATCGTGGCATCCCACAAATGGAATCGGATTGATGTGTAATGATGTCAAGGGAGAGGTATTCCAGCTCAGTGCACGCTCTGAAGAGGGCATCTGCACTTTCACGCGTCAACCCTTCACCACAATCGCTGTTCAGGTCAAGATAAGTTAACTCAGGACAGTCAGATTCTAAGTCTTGAAAAAACTCGTCATTATGCGGATCTAAAACGCAATTGTTTATCGTGAGAGAAGACAACCTTTTGAACTGGGAAAGGGATGCCCGAAGGTCACCATCAACTGTAAGGCTAGGCGAGCAGTTAGCGATGGACGTCTGTGCAAGGTAAGCTAGGCGGTTCCAACGTTTGCAGACCAATGCATGATTAAAGTAGCTAGGCGACTGCGTGTTTAGGCAACGGAAGACATGGCACATGAGCTCGTCTGGCAGTATATTAAATGATGCTCGCAACATAACTCTACTACCACAATGCAAGCCAGGGGCGACTAGATAATTATATAAACTACGAACTCTATTACAGTTCCGAGAAAAGAGGTGAGAAACACACGATTGTCCTGCGTGGATGGCGTTGTTATAGAGCAGTGACGGGAGTGCCTCGGGGCCTTGAGTCCTGTTCGAGGTTTGTGCTTTCTGCTCGTTTCGCTGCCTTAGATCTGCTAAGAGGAAAAGTTTGGCGGGACGATAGACTTCACACGGCTTGCTAGGGCGCTGGGAGCCTGGGACATGCGAGTTACGGCGCGCATTTCTTGGGTAATGACGGTTGACTTCAGCTCACGGTTCGGCTCATGGCGAAAACACTCACGAACATTGAGTGTCGTCGCGTACAGCTCACGACAATCGTGATGTCGTCTATGTCAAGCCTTGGTGCTTTCGTAACCTAAATCGAAGTTACCATGTTGTTCCCGTCTCAGTTCCATCATCTCCTACCGTTGGTTCGCGTGGATAGTGATTAAAAACGAGTCCTCATATTTTTGCCGTCTCAGTTCCGTTCATCTCCGACCGTCAGTTCGCGATGGATAGTGACTAGGATGAAAATGAGCCGTCAATGTTTGCCTGATTGGTGTGGCGAAATCCATCCAGTATCGGGGCTGCCAATCAAGGTGCAGAACGGACCTCGGTGCAGAATGGATGAATGGATTCATCGTCGTCGAAAATTCCGTAGCTCGCACAAAATGGCTCCACTACAAACAAAAACGGTTGAGCGATCGCACAGTTACGGACGATTTTACCAGAGCCTATATACCAAAACAGGCTGCAGGGCATACAAGAACTTGAATTCAGCCTAAATATACACCACCTCAAATTCATGTCTGGCCTTTGAGAGCTGAGCCAAACTGCTTGCTAAAGTTTCACTGCATGCTGCTGCACGGTTGATATGGTACGCCCACTTGCAATCATCCTGTCTGCATCTTCTACCATGAGATTATGCGCATCACTCCCTCCCACCTCACTCAACTGCAAACATCCGTTCACTTCACGCCTTCCCATTCCACCAATCTGATCCCTGCCATTCCATAATGACAGTCCCTCCCCTTCCTATTCCGCCTCTTTCATCCTGCCTGCCATGCATCCCCACTCATCATTCGAAACTCGACTTACAAGCCGATTCGACCTCCCAATCCAAGGAGACATTTGACAACGGATACCAGCTCAAACCAACAGGTGGTGTTGCCACGAGGGCAGCACGGACGGGGCGGGGACCCATACCACGGCCGGGCCTCACTGGCCTTTGAGGCATGTAAAGGCAGTCCATTTCAGCTCAAACCAAGAGGTGGTGCTGCCATGAGGGCAGAACAGAAGGAGACCCGTACCACGGCCGGGCCTCACTGGCCCCCACAGGCGAGTGATACACGCCGTCCAGGATCAGATTCTCCGCCCCCTCCAGCAGGGCGGCATCTTCCGGCACGACTCTGTCCCCCCACACCTCCGCCCGCCTGCACACCTGCTTGTACCCCTGCCCCACCATGCGCGCCTGGAACACACCTCCCCCAGATGCCACCTGCACCTGCCTCCCAGCAGTTGCTTCCTGGTTCTTTTCATCTGAAGCCCCGCTGCTGCCCTCCTCCCTCTCCCCCTCACTTTCGCTCTCCGGCTTTGCATCCGACCCACCAGCTGCTTGTGATGCTGCGCCCCCCACCCCCACTGGTTTCACATCCAGGGCAAACACGCGCGCCTCTCCTCCTGCTGCTGCTGCTGCTGCTGCTGCTGCTGCCACGGCTCACACAGTGGCTGGTGCTGAGGCTGCTGTGGCTTCTGCAGGGGTGGCAGCAGTGCTGCCGAACAGGGGCAAGCCCTTGAGGTACCTGCATGGGTGGGTGGGTGGGGTTGTGGGGAGGAGGTGATGGGGAAAGGAAAGGCTGGCTGTGAGACTGGCACAAAGCCAGAAAAAAAAAAAAAAAAAAAAAAAAAAAAAAAAAAACCGGTCCAAGCGAAATAAGAGGTTTCCAGTGGGAATAGAACACGCAGCACAAGGGGATGTGGAGTGGAGGCAAGAGAGATTCACCTGCCAGGCGGAAAAGGCTTCACCTGCATGAGACACAGGCATGTGGACATAGGCAACAGTATCATACCTGGACAGCCAGGGTGATCACCTGCACAAGAGAGAACCTGCCCCAGAGAGAACCTCCCCCAGAGAATGAACCTCCCCTCTCCAAAAGAATGAGCCTCACCTGCTAGAGATGCAGACGTATTTGACGTGGGGAGCATGGAAGACGCCTGGAGAGACGGCCTGCATGTGCATTAGCAGGCCTCTCGTCTGATCCACCACCCCTTGTACCCCTGCGGGTGGTGGGCTGGTGGGAGCAGACATGAGGTGGGAGGAAAAGTTGGGAGGGGTAGAGGTAATGGTGATGGTAAGGGAGAGAACATGGATTGTTCAAGAGCAACCATGATCCATCGACATGGCCTGGCGAGACGGCCTGGAGAGACGGCCTGCATGTGCGTTAGCAGGCCTCTGGTCTGATCCACCACCCCCTCTGCCCCTGGGGGCGGTGGACTGGTTGGAGGTGATGCGTGGAAGGGGAGACAGAAAGGGGAAAACGAAGAAAGCAGCAAAATGAGTGAGGACAGCTCACAGAATGATCCAGAGGGGTAGAGGAGAGGCGAGGGTGCAATGCTGCATGGTTGCATGCTTTTCTTTTCGAATACACCATCCATTTTCCACATGCTATGATTCAGTCACAAGTTCGGCACACGCTCTCGCCCTCGCCACAACAACATGCCATAGCACGCTGTGCTGCCCCACTCTGCGGCTTTCGAGAGTTCTAAACAGATTGTTCTCGCCCTCGTCACAACCACACACATGCCATGCCATGGCACGCTGCGCTGCCTCACACACTCACAGGTGTGGCGAGCCGAGGGAGAGCAGCAGCGCCACGTCAGCATGGCCGTACTCCGCGTGTAGACAGTCAAGAAGAGGGCCAGCCACCCGCCTGCTGAGTGCGCCACCAGCGACTCCTGGGAGGCGCCTGGGGGGGAAGTGCAGGCGGGAGAGGCGTGAAGGGAGATGGGAATATGAGAGCGGTGGGGAGTGCACCTGCTGAGTGCGCCACCAGCGACACCTGGGAGGCGCCTGACGGGGGCGGGTGTGTAGGGGAGAGAGGGGGTAGGGTACACGAGGAGCGGGAGTAGCAGCGGGTACTGCAGCCCAGCCACCCAGTGACACCTGCGAGGCACCTGGCAGGGGAGTGCAGAGGGGGAGAGGGGGTGGGGTCAAGCAGAGGGCCAGCCACCCAGTGACACCTGCGAGGCACCTGGCAGGGGCGCGTGCCGTGGGGTGACGGGGGGGAATGAAGAACATCCCTTTGAGAGAGCTCCCTTGTAAACAAGCCAACAGCAGCGTGAGATGTGATCACAGGGGGGCATTGTGGGATGGAGTGCGGAATGAACGTGGGGAATGCATGTGCTTGGGAAGGGGTTCATCGGCATGCAATGGTTCTCAGGGATTGATTGCATTAGAGTGTGCCTTGCGTGCAAGTGCTTGTAAATGAGTGACTGTAGAGGAATGCGTACAGGTGCTTGCAAGTGAGTGCATGCATCAGGAGCGTTACTTGGTAAGTCACGCGGGTATACCTGGGACTCTCTTCTTGGCTGCCTTCACCGCTGCTGCCACCCGCTCCAAGTACCTGTTAGACAGGCAGTCAGTCATGCGGCGGATACAGGGACACGGAGACATAGGGGCACAGGGACGGGGAGACATAGGGGCACAGGGACGGGGAGACATAGGGGCACAGGGACGGGGAGACATAGGGGCACAGGGACGGGGAGACATAGGGGCACAGGGACGGGGATGAGAGGACGAAGAGGCACAGAGACCCACGACTCTCTTCTTGGCTGTCCCCCCCCACTGCTGCCACCCGCTCCAAGTACCTGTTAGGCAGGCAGGCAGTCATGCGCACAGAGGGACAGCAAGATACAGACAGAGGCATGGAGAGACAGAGATAGAGGGTGAAGGCTGAAGGAACGATGGGACGCCGATGCACAGAGCCACATACACAGTCCCTAAACCCTTCCCAGGGCTGTGAGGCGCTGTGAGGTGCTGTGAGGGGCGATTCGAGAGGCTAGAGGGGGGGAGGCTGGGAGGGGCTGTGAGGGGCTTTGGGGGGTAGGGGGGCCTTGGGGGGGCCTTGGGGGGGCCTTGGGGGGGCCTTGGGGGGGCCATGGGGGGGTTTCCCTCGACTCTTGTATCCTACCTTGCGAGTATCTTCATTCCTCTTTTATAGGTATAAAGCCAATGATGTGGGTAGTAGTACAAAATCAAGGCAGTAACAGAGATGCCATTGATGCCATTGATGGTAACACCAGCAGCAACAGTCAGCCCGTGAAGCAATCACCCTCATCATCATCCGTCCAGGTGTTCAGAACCCTCCCTAACTACCTTACCGTATCTCTTAAGATTGTGATCATTCCCAGCCTTCCTAGTAATTGCACTGCCCACCTCAGAGACATCACATCACATCACATCACATCACATCACATCACATCACATCACATCACATCACATCACATCACATCACATCACATCACATCACAGCTAAGCAAACATCCTATAATAAAAGATGCTACATGACATGCCATAGAACCTTACTAGCGCCTACCTGTGTGTGGATACTTTCAGCCCGTACACCTCATTGATGCTTCTGGGGAGCACTGACCCATCCGTGTCCGTCACATGCCCACACTCCTCCACATCCAGGCTCCTCAGCGCCGTCAGCGCACTCAAATCCCCCGGCAATGCCTCCAGCTGCGCACAGCCTGACAAATTGAGGGATCTGAGCCGCGAGAACTGGGAAACGGTGGGGCACAGGGAGCGGATGGGGCAGGCTGTGATCGACAGGTGGTTCAGGCGGGTAAGGTGGGTGAGAGAGGCAGGCAGCTGCTCAAGGTCGTCGGAGTTATAGAGGTCCAGCTCGCGCAACCGCGACAAGGCACCGATGCCATCCGGAAGAGAGGCCAGTGGCGCATTGCAAGCCGTTAAGGACGTCAGGTTCTGCAGCGCAGTCACACTCGCTGGCAGCTCCCCTAACTCGTACGCCGATACCAGCTTCAGCTTCCGCAGCTGCGGCAGTGCTGACCCGATGTCGGCCGGCAGCCTTTGGAGGTTTATCGCGTAGTCAATGATCAGCGTGCGCAGGCGGGAGAGGAACGTCAAGGCGAATGGAAGCTCCTCCGCATCGTTAGCCAGCGTCAGCTGCAAATGCTCCAGGTGCGACAGGCTCCTGCTCACAGCGACCCCACACGCCACCGCAACTACGTCCAGGCGAAGCGTCCGAAGCCCCGTCAGCGTGGAGACGTCTGGCAGAGGCCATGCATGTCTGAAACCTCCCCAACCCAGCCATTCAATTGAAGCCGGCAGGACTAGAGGAGGCCGTGTCAGCCTGTCACATCGGGCCACCTCCAGCCGCTTGAGCCGCGTCAAGCCGTCCAGCCTTGTGGGTGCCGAGGTCAGATTATGGCAGTCAGCGAGTGAGAGAGCTTCAAGGGCAGTCAGGGACGTCACGGACGCTGGAAGGGCCGCGAGCCGAGGGCAGGACGAGACGTGCAGCTCGCGCAGGCTGCTGAGCGACCCCACGCCCTCTGGCAGCAACTCCACACCACACCTGTTCAGCTCAAGCCTCGTCAGCGATGAGGTCTCAGATAACGAGGATAACGAGCACGGGAGATGCGGATATCCGAAGCTCCTTGTCACAAGCAGCGTGTGGAGGTTACTGAGGCGGCCTATGTCCGCTGGAAGCGCCACTCGTTCGAGGCAGAGAGTCGTGAGAGTCGTGAGGCGGCCGAACCCTGCTGGCAGCTCGCGGATTGAGTCGCACGAGAGCAGGAAGAAGGTCTCCAGGGAGCTGAGCTGGCAGATGGAGGCAGGCAGGCTCGCCAGCAGCGGCAAAAGATCCAGAACCAGAGTTGACAAGGCAGACAATCGCCCAACGTTTTCAGGCAGGCAGCGGAATTTGTCGCATTTGATGAGTGACAAGGTCTCGAGGTGCTTCAGGGAACAAGCACCTTCCGGCAGCTCCTCCAAGTCATGGCACCTGGAAACGGTCAGCTCACGCAGACTCGGCAGAAACTCCGCGATTCTGGCCGGAAGCCGCTTCAAATTTTCGCAATCTGATATCTGCAGCCGTTCAAGACTGGTCAATGGCCAATCCGACAGCAACACGTGGCGAGAGCTCAGCGATTTGATCAAAGGCAGCTGTGCGATGGCGAAGGCAGCCGAGCCATGAGGAGAAAACGAGGTCCCGGGAGAGAGTGAAAGGCCGGTGACGCTGGGAAGACGACGCACGTTGGCCAGTTGCTCCTCGGTCACCTCCGGGAAGGCGATATGAAGAGTGGTGAGGGAAGCGAGGCTCTCCAGATCTGGAGCTTCTAAGGCGGAGGCGGCTGTTAAAGCCAGGGTGTGCAGACGCGTGAGGCGGAAGAAGGAAGCGGGTAGCTCAGTGTTCCAATGGAGGCAGAGCAGTGACAGCTGCTCCAGCTGCGTGCATCGCTGGAAGAAGCGATCCAGACCAGCCTCGGTGATCGGGTGCTTATGCTTCGGTCCGACGTAGTCTGGATGGTGAGTGATCGAGCGTCCCACGTGGAGAATCTTGAGCTGAGGACAGGATGATGCGAGGTGAGCGAGGAAGGAGTCGTCTAGGGTTTCCACGCTGTCGTCGCACAGATGGAGATGGGTGAGATTCGGGAAGCACGCGACGGCATTCGAGAGTTCTTGGAGGGGAATGGCTTGTTTTCTTTCGACGAGCAGCGTGGAGATGTTACGCTGAGCTACATCGCGCCAACGACGGCACACCGACGACACGAGGAAGATCTTGGCAGCGGTTGGAATGGCGGAGGGGTACGATACTGGATACGAGTCTTCCTCCTCAGGACTGGGATCTTTGTCTAGAACGATCGAGCGAAGGTACAGTGGCTTCTCGTACAATGAATGCCGAGACCATAATACGTCACTGTCCGACTTCCAAGGTGTTGACTCCTCGCAATGCCATAGTATCTTAGCGATGATGTCGTCGGGAAGGTCGTTAATATGTGTCGCTGTCTCCATCGTTTCCATAGCAGACGAGACTACGAAGGAGCTATATATAAGGACGGAGTGCAGCGAGTTGAAGAAGCCTAGACAGAGTTTGAACTAGGTCTGCTAAACGAGTGTGACGTGCGTGAATCACGTGAGAGGTAATCTCGCTGCCTTCCCTCGTACGCAACGCGTGCCTGATGTGGTGGACACTCTTTCGGGTGTAGGAGAGGGTTACCCGGTTCCCGAACCAGAGTGTTTTTGCTGTGTTTGATTTATTTCGTGATT